ACGTTTTTATCGCTTTTTATAATTATTTTAATTAAATATTAATTAATAATTAAATTATTTATTTAACTGAAAAGAAAACCACTATTTTTTGTATTGAAATTAACTATTGATTGAAAGCATTAATAAATCACTTTCTTTAAGACAAAGCATTGGATTAATTGAATTGATTTGTTATTTGCTTTGAGACACGGATTGCAAAACCAATGTTTGCCGTATGTATTGACTGAGTGCTTGTTTTTGTGGATCAATTGTGTCCAACAAATCAATCGGATCTTTATATGTCTTCTCTATCCCTATATATCTCAGAACACAACCCATTCTTCGGGTAAATACGGATCAAATGTTGGCCACAATTACAGTCCCAATGCATACCCACAGCCGCCGCCTTCGACTGCGAGCGCCGCCGCAAACATTCCTCCGCAGTCTTCGGGACGTAATTCTGAACACAATTCGCCCACAAATAAGCAGCAGAAGAGCGGCGCCCAAGAAGTGATCGCTAAGCCAATGGCGGCCAATAATAGCGCCGCTAATAGCGGTACTCCGACGGCGAAGAATGTGTCCGAACGGGTGGTGAAGGCGAACCTCAAGATCAGTGACAATCCGTACGACATCGAGGCCTGGAATGTGCTCATCAAAGACGCACAGGTATTGCATCGACTCTTTGCTATGATCTCTCGATTCGCTTTTATTACTAAAGGCTTTGATTATCTATGACTCTGTGATTGACGACATGTTTTATTTTGGGATCAATTGAATGGTTACGACAAAAATGGATGTAATGGTAGAACAAACGGATCGACGATTCGCGCGACTTCTTCGAGAGACTGGTCTCTCAGTTCCCAAACTCCGGCAGATTCTGGAAGTTATACATTGAGACTGAGGTTGTAATCAATCAAATATTCCCTTCAAATACTCTCTCGTTATATATGATTCGCGCGACTTCTTCGAGAGACTGGTCTCTCAGTTCCCAAACTCCGGCAGATTCTGGAAGTTATACATTGAGACTGAGGTTGTAATCAATCAAATATTCCCTTCAAATACTCTCTCGTTATATAACTCTCTCAATACTACCAATGAGTCGATCATTTGCTCGCTTTTACTCTTAACTTATTTTCTTGAAATAAATTCATTAAAAAATGTGTTCAAAAATATATGCAATGTTTTTGATATAAAGAATTTGAAATTTATTATTAAAAACAAAAACTGGTTTAATATTTGTCTTTTGAATCTATTGAATATTATGTTGTATTGATTTCGGCGTTTAAAACATTCATTTGAATCTATTATTGATTTTATTGTTTACTATTTTAATGTATTTATTAATAGTTTATGAATCGATGTTTTAAATGAACGAAATGAATATGTCATTCACTTTTGCGCTGCGATTATACAATGCTTTCGATTGACTTGTGTTTGGTTTCAATATGATTGTTGTCTCCTTTCAAATGTGTATCGTTTTCAGCAATTTTTGCCACATATTTATTAATTTGCTTTTTTAATGAAATACTTATTTTATGGCAAATTATGTCAACGAATATTAATTTCATGATAAACTAGGCTTTCATTGAAGAATATTAGGTTAAAATTATATTTAATTAATTAATATATGCACACAAAACATATTAAATATCAACACAACGAGTAAATTAGTTTAAATTGTGTTTATATTTTTGGTTTTTTCAATTCAACTTTCAGTTTCACTAATCGATACGTTTGTATGGGTTTTGAGGAAACAATTATAGTGTTTGTTTGAAATGTTGTGCGTTTGGTATAATTGAGTTAATATGGATCTAAAATATATTTAAATAGCAAATTAAAAGGTTATTAACTGATGTGTGGGTTTGAGGAATGTGTCAATACATTAATTACAGTATTATATAAGTTTCAATATAAGGAAATTAACGAACATTGGATATACGAGAGAACCGCTCCATTGCCTTAAGCCTTATTAATATGCAATTTGAGCTCAAATTAGTTTTTCTTAATTTAATGTCTTTTAATTGTATTTAAGGGTAATTTTAATGTTATTAAAAGTTATAATTAACTGAAAGGTTCACCACTCGTCTTGTATTATATACTAAAATAATAATTTATAATTGGTTTTGAGTTCTATAGAGAAATATTTTAATGGTTTAATAAAAATNTTTAAGGGTAATTTTAATGTTATTAAAAGTTATAATTAACTGAAAGGTTCACCACTCGTCTTGTATTATATACTAAAATAATAATTTATAATTGGTTTTGAGTTCTATAGAGAAATATTTTAATGGTTTAATAAAAATATCTAATTTATTACTGTAATAGAAATAACAAATTGGTTGCAACTGTTACGTTGCTTAAATAAAGTATTATTACAATAACTATTTATTTATTTAATTAATTCTACACTAATGTGCGGTTTGTATACACGAGTGTTTAATTATATATTTAAGTGTTTATGACTTTCTTATTACCTATGGTATAAGATATTATATACCATAGCTTTAATTTGATAATGTTGGTGGCATAATGTGATCGGGTTAAATTACATCAATATCAGATTAAAATATTTGCAATATATTACTGGGTTATAGGTATTTGAGTATGAAATACATAGTTATATTAATTTACATTTATAAATTATAATAGACTATTATTAATAGTTATATATTGCATATTGAATTTCCGTTATTAAATGTGATATTATTTGGTTCTTTCCTAATAATTAACAATAGTTTATATAATAAAAAATATTATTTACAATGTATGGAAACGATTGATTAAAATATGTAATGAAATGTTGGTAAAAATTATTTTATTAATAATATTGATAAATTACTAATAAATTTGTTGAATTATTTAAAATAAGCTTAAAAATACCACATAATGCATACACAATGAT